TTAGTGATGCATTAATTAATGACTTGTCATTTAAAATATTTTTCAATTTTATTTGTCAATAAAGACATGGAAAAAAGAACTTGAGTAATAACTGCTGAAAATCTGGCTTTGCAGTCACATTTTCTTTTAAATATATAGAAAGTATATTAATTTAATATGTACACAATAGGGGTGTCACAATTAATTGTTTCTTCGGTGCACTGCTATGCAGACGCAGAAAATTCGGTATCGGTTCAGTAATAATCATAACCGGTTATTATGTACTGACGTCATTTATCTCCTATGCGCTCTGTCGCGAGGGAGGTGAGCGCTGGTATTTACAACACTCAGCCAACTCAGGGCCGGTCCGTGGCATAGGCACTACAGGCAAATGCTAAGGGCGCTGTATATCCAGGGGGGCGCCAGAAATGAGCATGGTTCAGTTGGTTTTGTTTTCGATATTCCTGACACGCATTCAGTTGTAGACGGCATTAACTCAAACACCTCTTACCCTAAAAAGATCTAAACTTTGTTTCCTACAAAAAGACAAAGCTGGTTATGTTTCACAGCTGTCTTTCTTTTTTTCGCTCGACATTACGAGCACTGCTCCGTTTAAGCCCTCGCAATATGTGTTTAGCCGGGAGAGCTCGCGCTGAGAGGAACTCTCAGTAAGGGACTGTCAGAAAAGTGCTTCTTTTTTTTCGTTTTTCTGCTCCGCTCAGCACGAGCTCTCCCTGTTGCGAGGGTTTAAGTGTGTGTGTGTGTGTGTGTGTGTGTGTGTGTGTGTTTGTTTGTTTGTTTGTTTGTTTGTTTGTTTGTTTGTTTGTTTGTTTGGTGCTGTCTATGTTTGTGTGTTTGAATGAGAGACAGTGTGGTACTGTGTGCCTGTGTGTTTATACAGACAGCTTGTTAAAGCCTCCCCCCTAAAATATAACACTGTATATAGAAAGCATCATCAATGCACTGTGATGCACCGAGATATCGAATTGAACCGAATCGAAGGCATGATAATCGTAACTGAACCGTGAGACCAGTATAGGTTCACACCTCTAGTACACAATCTTTTATTGTATTTTTTTATTGTATTTTAATCTTTTATTTATTTATTCAATCCAACCTTTGCGCACAAGATTTAATCATATTCATTTCAAAATCATACTTCCCTCACACTAATATTTTAAAGCATTGTTATAAACATTTCTCAGTGCTGTGTTGCAGCTGTAAGGGCATCCGCTGTGTTAAACGTATGCTGGATAAGTTGGCGGTTCATTCCGCTGTGGTGACCCCTGATTTACCGCTGACCCCTGGCTTAGGAAAGGGAATAAGCCGAAAGAAAATGAATGAATTATGTTATTACCAGTGAAATACTACATTGCTGTTGTAATAAATATGTTTAGATTCCTCTTCAGATTGGAAAATTTAGCACCAGAATTGTCTGTAGTAATATTGATGACAACCTACAGGAACCCAAGATATTTTTAAATGTTTATTATAGGGACATCCTCTTTTCATTTACACTCTTCCCTTCGACTGTCTAGCCTCCGCTGTGATAAAACATTAATCATGACATCCTAGTTAGTCATTTTCAACAATTTAGGGAGATTGTGACCCGTTGTTTGCTTTGTTCCTCATTTTGAGTGAAAACTTGGTTTGAATCTGCAAGTGAATAACACTCCAAAGGGGAGTTCTAGATTAACATATTTGCATTGGAAAGATTAAATGCAGTTGCATAGGTAACAGAAATGATTTGAGTCAAGTATTCAAATGTGTGCAGAGTCTGAATGTTCCTTTCCGGGGGTTTGATGTATAAGGGGATTTTTGCTTTTATCTAGTTCCTCTTATCTGGTTTCTGCTCCTTTAAACGCAGCAGGTCTCTTACCTTTTTAAATCGGTCACAAAACCTCAAAGGAGACATCAGAGGTTAAAGCCTAAACTGACGTATGGTATGGAAGAAAGCGAAAGTTTCTCATGTGACTAACAGAGAGGCTCAGGTTCCTCCAGCAGGACTGATCAGTGTCACTACTTTTTCCTAGAGACAACTAAACTACAATGAGTCTCATTAATTAGATATGCACTTGTGTGTGAAATTTGCATGCAAACACTTTCTAAAATGTATTATCGTTCATGTTGAATTATTTGAATCTGTATGATAATGGCTGGTCATGTTTTATGCAAACGAATATAGGTGTAGTTACCTATTGAGAATGCAGTGAATACTTTACCTTTTAAATAAGGTAAACAAATTAATGTGCATTTATGTGATTCTAGTGATGTTCGCCTTTTTTAAATTATGATCTAGGCCCAATCCCAAATGTAATTTTGTACCCCTTCCTCTTGGCCCTTAATCCAAGTGTGAAGGGAAAGGGCTTCAAAATTACCCCTTAGAAATGGGACAGCACTACAGCACCTGCACACGTCATCATACAGTATGTCATCGCGATCTCTTGCTTCATATGAGATCAGACGATCACGACTGCTGCAGTTATACCAGTTGCTTTATTTTTTGGTATTTATCTTTAGGAAATCACTGAAGGCATATATTATGTTGTTATAACGATCTAATGTGGCAATAAGATCGTAACTGTTCTCTGCATTTACCATACTTGCCATATTCGTCTAAACATGTAAACACACAAAAACAAAATTGACATTATAGCAGACACTGTAAAAATGTCAGTCCCAGCCACTAGACTTTTTTGACAGGGTATTCGAGTGTTATAATGTTGTGGGACTACTGTACAGGAGTTATTATTAGGGATTATAGTTTAGTTTAGTATTTTTATTTAAAGCATGACGGTAAAACACGAACGCGGTTATACATTTATTATAACATATACTTGTTTGTTGTAAAAATTCTAAATGACAAAAAATACTAATTTGTGGATCTCCTTCCTTTCGGGTTTAGCTATCCTACCCTTGTGGCTGGTGTATTCCGGGAAATTTTCTTACCCCTTGGTTTCGAGTGTGGTCCTGAAAAATCTCAGTTGAAGGGGTATCCACCCCTTCCCCTTAGCCTTATGACTTCAAGCTAAAATGAACTGGCACAAGTAAGGGGGAAGGGCTAAGGAGTTAGAATTGGGCTTGGACCTTTACTCTATTTTGGTCAGCACTGCAGACATCAGTAGTTCTATTTAAACTATAACATTAGTTTGAAATAGACGACAGAAATGCTGATTTTGTGTGGATGTAAAGACTGAAGCTGTTCTGTAGTATTACATGACTTCTGATTACCCCGCTGTGATCTATGGTCAAGTCTTTTTCTATTCAGTGCATCTGCTAAATTTTAATAAATTACAAGCAAAAATAAATAAATAAACAGCATTTTATGGTTTTCTGGGAATCGAACAGTATTCAGGTACAGAAATTAAATCTAATCCTGCGACGTGAATATTGCGGATACACGAATCACGATAACGATGCTCAAACGAAATATTGCTCAGCCCTAGTGTAATCTCTGTGCTACTTTTGACCTAACAAGTGGTGTTAGTTAGTGTTAGGGAAACCTGTTTGAAAATAGTCACTGTTTTTTTTTTTTATATTTATACTCTAGAGGTTAATGACTAAAGAATTTTTCATAATGTATTGAGAGCCATAAAACTAAATAATAACGGTAAAAACAATTAATACTAGTTATATTTTGTGTATTAATTAGTAAATGAATGCAGTAGATCTGTGATATGCAGTTGTTGACCAAGTTTATAGGTTGCAAGAAGGTGAAAAAGTGCACACTTTCTTCCCAGTGGGATATTAAATGGATCTATTATTTGCAGTTGATTGCTGAAGATCAATTTGTCCAGCTTTTCTCTGGTTTTGTGGTTTGTCAGTCATGTTTTTTTCACTCGAGTGACCATATTTGTGTGGGGTTTATGCTGATGATAGCGGTGCATTACTCACTCCTTCCTGAAAATGAATAGGGACCCTCCCCATCTGATGGGTAACAGCCAAGATTGTAACCCACATCTCTGCAGCATTTGAATACAGCGCAGTAATTTCCCCCACGTGCATCTGTCTCGACCTTACTACAAGACGAAAATAGACTGAAACAAAAAACCCAGACCATCATTCCTTCACCCTCTTTCCCCATTTTCATCATCCACCCACCTATTTTTGACTTTCTATAAGTGTAAAACGTAAAGCTTGGATTTCACCTCAATTCATACGTCCACTCTAAGAGTTGGGTTTTAGATCTCGCCCCTTTTATAGATATTGTAATCAATATTTGGCTAAAGTAATTATTAAAGCAGCTGCCAGTGTGCTTTTAGATTGGGATGTAAAAGTGTGGTGGAATAGTGGTTAAGGATTATAATGCATATAATTTGGGTAAAAAATGAACAAACCCCTAAAAATGTTAATTTTAAAGCCAATTTTGATTTGATTTGGTTTATTTCATTTATTTATTTTGAACAGAAAAATCATATACAAAACAATTCTTTAAACAAAATGCATTTTATCATTGTCAAAATGGAGCGAGATGAAGCACAAGCTTTATTATTTTCCCCGCCCCATTGTCACACACCATTTCTTTATTACTTCAACTTATTTATTTTTTACTTATTTCTTCTTTTTACATGATACATATTCCATCCTTTTGGCATCTTTGACATATTATTTTTTTGATTCCATTAGTACATTTACGTTTTATAACATAGACCCAAAAATACATAGCATTGCAAACAGCCATTAATTGAAATTTCATCATACCTTTTTCATTTTATTTTTAATCACTTCTAATAATCATTGTATTCCTTTAATAACATATATTTACACAACTTTTTTGTTTTGAACACATTTTCACATTTTGAAACCAATGGTTGGGTTTGTCTGTATTTGACCTATAATTAAGTTTTATAACCAGCCTTTTTAGAAAGTTAGTTGATCTTTAGTCTTTGCTAGATTTTACATAAAAAAATAAACAATAAAAATGCTGCAATAAAAAAATCTGTTACCCATTTAAAAACAAGTTTCTAAAATATATATGATGAATATTAATCAATTTTATTTTATTCTTTTCTGTTTAACAGATGAAAGATACTCATAACCACTTCAGGGAGAGTAAAAGATAAGGTAAGTTTAATTTGTGTGAGGTATTCCTTTAGCAATGTATTACCGCTGTATACAAATTAATAAATTAGGATTGTAATTTTTCTTCATTTTTCTTTTCACTTTTCTTCAAGGCTAAAATTCTGGCAATCACAGCTGCATATTTCTTTTTGTACAGTATGTCAACTGTCTGATACACTGAATTGCATTCAAATAGTTTAATAGTGCATAATCAGTTTCTGTATCTCACTCCTGAGTGAAAGGCTACCGCAGACAGATCGGAAATGAGTTGTGGAGTTTTGTTTTTGATCAGATGACTCTGATTCAGCTCCATAATAATCAGTCAGGCTTCATTTGGAATCTGATTGTGATTCCAGGGACGTCATGTGAGCCCCGTGTGCTGATGTGGGTGACGTGCAGTTGCTGTGCTTTTTGGGTACGTCATTGCGGGATGCCAGCTACAGATTGTCACCCAGTCCCAAAATGGAGTTTTGGCAGTAGCGCGATCTGCTGCATTGGCCGTCTAGTGGACGTGATCAAACAGGTGTTTTTCCCAACATGGGGAGAAAATGGCCACACGTGAAGGGTGCTGTTACGCTTTAGCCTTCTGCAAGGATCAGGTCACCAGGCCTTGGATTGTGGCGAGCTCATTCTGGCCCTGGATGTGTCCTTATAAAGCTCAGGATGTTACTAACTTGGTATGCATGAAGAGAGCTTGTTGAGTTTGAATGCAGGTCTTTCACATATAGATGTTACTTGCTTTCTTTATTAATGCTATGCTATTCTATGAAGGTAAAATGCAAAAATTCTGAACATTTAGTCAACAATGAATTGGCTTACATATGGATTATTATCTGTTCTCTCTGATAGTTTGTGCTTAATTATGCTAATTAAATGTGAAAAATGATCTGAAAAATACTTCAGCTCTATTTAAAATGTAATTGTTTCTCACTGTTCCAATGAATATTTGAAGCTATTTCTAATTTTAAAATGTTAATATGAGGGCTGGGCGATATTGCTGGAAAAGTATCACAATATCATGTTTCATATCATTCAATATCAATATTTATTAAATGTTTTTAACATTTAATTTAGGAATATTAGGATTTTTTTTTTATTCAACCACTTTATTTTCGTTTACCAACATTATGAAGGCAAATAGTAGATATAGGTTGATCAACATCTGTAAAGTGAAATATAATTATACAGTAATCCTCCAACTGTAAACAAAAATTATGATAATCAAATCTGAGCTTTCAAGTAAAGAACTAATTACGTTATTTAAATACATACTGCAACATTACAGATTGGGAAGTTGAATGACCATATTACCCTCTATGCTAAAAAAATCTTTCAGATAGGGGGCTAGTGGCTAGGATGCACAAGAAAAGAAACCAAAAAGCCGCTCTGGCGACATCCTTGTATCCTTTTTTATTTACAATCTTCTCATTTTTGCTAGCCACAGCACTTGTTTTCGCATGTGTTACTAATCTGTCCTGAAGTGACACGCGCACGCATGTTTTTTTTTTTTTGACCATTTACAACGAGCTCTCTCAAAACTAGGAGACCGGTAAAACTATTGCTACAGCTCCAATGCAAGTTTATGGAGAAAAGTAAAAAGCGCTGCAGTGTTTGGATGCACTGTGTTTGTTTAAAGTAATTAGTCTGCCGTTACCAAAATGTGTACATTTTCATACAAAGAGTGAAGCGGATTGGTGCACGCTCAGCAGCCAAATTTAAAATAAAACTGTTGCAATTCATACCAAATCTTTTTTTTTTTATCAATTTTGACAATGGTATTCAGTCAATAAATACAGATTTTTCAGCCCTAGATAATATTAAATATTACATTTATTAGTATTCTTGTTCATAGTACCTCTCAGTCCCACTTTATATCAAGTGGTCTTAAGTACATGTACTTGGATTCAAAAATAAATTTTATATGCTTGCAGTGTTTATAATGCATAGCAGAACACTTTTGGTTTTTTAGAGGGTAAGGTTAAGGACAGGTCTGTGGGTATGAGTAGGTTTAGGGAAGTGTAAGAGATGGTCAGTAGTGTATTATGTAATTACATGCATTTATTTAATCAAGGATAAGTACAATGTAAAAAAAACAGGTATTTACACAAAGTACATTGTAAACAAATGATTATTTCAGTGTAATTACATTTGAGTTATATTCACATTATAAAGTGGGTCTTCATTTTCTAACAGCAGTCATGGTAAAATATTAATAGTAATAATACCACTTTATATTGATATTACTATATTGATATAATATATTTAATGGATATATTTATTATAACATTGTTCAATAAAATATCAATATTTATAGCAATATTAGGAGGAATACATAATCTTGCATGTTTTTGTTTTCAAAATATTTGAATATTATTAAATATACAAAATTATGTCACCAATAATAAGTATGTTTCTTTAGCAGTGTTGTTTATTTACAATATTGAGAGTAAAGTTAATAGTAATAATAATCATGAAGAATATACAAAGTTTTATTTATATAATTAGTGTAACAAATTATTATTTAAATTATATTAAATGGTCAATATATGTATTTTTCGTATTATCATAGATAATAATGTTAATGCCAAGTTTAATATTATTATTAATATTGATGATTGTTGTTGTTTATAGATGTTTTTGTGATACATTGATAAATTGAAGTTAACTTTACGAGAATACAAAACTATGATTAGAGCATAGTGTTAAGTCTTGTATTTAACACATTTCACTGCTGTTAAATGGGAAATTAGACCTGCTTGACACATTTGCCCTCACTAGCATGCCATTTTATCAATGAACATTGTGTGTGCGTGTTATCAGCAAAAGGGATGTAATAGAGTGTGATGATTGTTGTTTTAATCTGAAGTTGTATAAAAGTGTTACAAGGAAGCATAAAGGTGTGTCTGAGGTCAGTTCAGGTGAGCACAGTTTGAAGTGTCTCTGTCTTCAGCTTTATTGACTTTCATTAAAAAAAAAGGAAAAAAAAGAAAACACCGGTTGACAAGACATTGTTCTTAATCACTATTAGTCTAATATGATTTATCTAGTATAATCCCAGTCAAACACATTGCGGTTTTTACTTTGTGTTTTTTTGACCTGTGTGATCAAACCCACATTTCAACCCTAGGTCATTGTTATATTAAACCAAAAGGTATGGTTGACAAAAGCAAACAAGTCATCTGTTTACAGTACATAGAGTGTATTTGCAGAGGAAACTGAAGACGTGCTTTGTCCAATCAACATTTTGAATTCTGTCTCCATTGTGTTATAGTGAATTTGTCATCCAGATCAAACCTGTCAGTGCTGTGAAAACAAGAAGTGTTTCATGAGCAAACGAATCCTGCAAACTGGTGTAGCGTGTTGTTTTAATTCAGTTTGCTGTTGGAAAAGTTTCCTGAGATCCAGCCGTGTCCTCAGGTCTTTCTCACAGCTGGAATTCTGAATAAAAATGGTTCTTTTAGAGCGCTTCTTCCTGCCGTTTCAGGTCTTCATGGGTTTTTAGTGTCTCCAGTGGGCGTCACGGTAGCTTTGAAGAGGCTTGAAGGTTTTCCTCATCAATCTGACGCTTTGCTCCTGTTTCTCTCATTGCCACCAGCAGCCTCTTCTTTACATGCCGTTCCTCCATAGCACAAGACTCCCCACCGACTTCACCTTAAACCCTGAGCTATACTGAGTGCCTGTCTTTATTCATTCTTCCCAGCATACTTTGTTTCACAGTCTTTATCTTATGAATCTGAAAAGAGCAATGTATTCATTTTGTACAGTTAGTTCCTGACACTTTTGACATGTTGTTCCTGAGGTAATTTTGGGTGAAATGGCAAAAAAAGACTGTAAATCACTTGTAAAGCATATCCCGTATATTCAAAAGTATTCAATGACAAAACTTAAAATGAATTAAATTATAATGTGTGTCTCATGTAAATGAACTGCATTACAATTTTAGTTAGTGTATCATAGTTAATTTAGAAAAATAATTTTGTCAATCATAATTATATAATTTACCTCAGTTGGTAATGTGTTACTGTAAGAGACTCTAAGGTTTACAGTGATGCGTCAGTTGTCATTTTAAATATTTTTGTCAATAAAAATGTTGGACATTATATACAGTGTTGGGGAAAAAAGTAATTATTGCTTGACTATAAAACGTAACTAAATGTATTACTTTGTAAACTTTTTCAGGAAATAGTGAAAGTTTATGTCATGTAGTTGGTTTTTTATTTTAGTTTAAAAAAGTAAGATGGACTTAATTGTAATGTATTTATTTATTTATTTTTTACCCAACACTGATTACTGTATATATAAATAGAAAGTGTAACACCAGTATGCTTTTAGTGACACTAAATGTTTAGTAAAAACACAAAAATTTGATTATAATCCTTATTCTGCATACATTAATCAAACATACACTGGTAATTCTTCATTGGCCTTCTACTGTGCTGCTTTTTTATTTATTTATTTTTTTATGTGTGTCTTTTGCTGCATTTCATTTATGAAACTACAAAGCAATACTGAGATGCTCCTGTTAAAGAAGTTCACCTCACATCACTTAACCTTGCATTTTTTGTTAACACGTTATTTTGATGGTTTCTATTGCACATTTTGGTGACAAAGAGTTGCACTGCAACTACATAGCAATTCTCGTTTGAGTATTAGTAGACTCGCTGCTTAATATTTGTTGATACCGCTCCTTCAACAGACATTTAACTGACTATAAGAAACTTTGCAAGTACATGCCAACTTACACTAACCCCAACCCCAACCTAACAGTCTACTTATAATCTATTGAGAATTAGTTGGCATGTAGATGAAATTTAACTTGAATTCGACAAAATGTGCTAATGGGACTATCAAAATAAAGCGATACCCATATTTTTCTTTTCTATTTTTATTTTTTTATTTTTTTTGATGCTTGTTTTTTTACCAACACAAACACAGTTTCAATGAATAGGCCTGTAGGATAAATGATATGGCCTGTTATGGTCATGCAGTGAGCATGTCACATG